TCCTTGCATTTGTCTCAGCCTTGAAGCATTTCAGGGAGGGTTCCCTTGCCCTGTGCTTCTTCTTTCAGGAGTTGTTGGGTCTGAAGACATCAAGCAGAACGAGAAAAATCTGGCAGTAAATCAGAGCTGGAGCCATGACAATGTCGATAAAGCTGCCCTCAGGTACAGCGAGTTTTCAGTTCTTTACCCTCTTTGATAAGGAGGTGGCAGGAGTGGGAGGTGGCAAAGGGCAGAACACGGGGGTTGTGTGCGTGGACTTCTAGCATTTTGCACTCTGACAGTGAGGGGTTTGCTACAGACAGGGAGGGGGTGCTTTGCACTAGTTGATGGCAGGCCCAGGGGGGCATAAGCCAGGTAAATGGCTTATGTATCAGTGGAGGCAGAGGGGGAAGAAATAGAAAGCTCCTGCAGTGACTTCTTGGCTTGCTGTGGCCAGGAGGAAGAACCTCTCACTTCCCCCGACAGTCTGGCCTGCCAGGCTCTGAGTGTGCAAGCCCTGGTAGGATTGTGGATCCAGTTGTGTACACACCAGTGCCTCCATCGCTTCCAAAGGCTGAGGGTGGAACAGGGGTAATTTTGAGGCGGAGCCCCTGGGTCCCCGCTGGAACAGCGCTATTACCAGTAATATGCAATGCATAGCAAAACCCGCCAGCTAGACCACCACTAGTATGTCTGTCTTAAAATAACACAGAAAACTAAATAAAGCCCAGTTCTCCTGCGTTTCAAATGCCATCCCGCTACCCTCTTTTCCCCCTGCCTTCATCAGGGGAGGGTTTAAGGCCAGAGGCTGGCTGAGCAAATAGCTTGTCCTTCTCTTGCTGCAGTCAGGGAGTCTGGGCAGAGGCAGCCGGTCAGCGATGGATTCCCTAGTGGGAAATGCAGTTCAAATTCTGTCAGCAAGATGTGTGCGGCCTCATCTAGACTCACTGGCTGCACTGATTTAACTCCGCTTTTAAATCCATTTAGTTAAACTGGTGCAACTCTCATGTGTATTCAGGGACTGCGATCTCAAGAAGGGCTAATCCTGGCCTTGCAGTGTCATATGCAGCTTGGGTGACCCTCCGTGGGAAGAGTCGGACCTATGCAAAGCAGGTTTTCTGTAGCAGGAGTGATTCTTGCGTTGAGCACATGTGTGCACGCGTGCGCGTGTTTAAGGTCTAGACTCTAAATTGTGCAGTGATGGGCAGAGCATGAAAGGGGCTTGTTTCATGTTTTGTTACAGGCAGAGTAAACCCAAAACTGAAGTCACCAGTGCGATGGTGCGGTCTTCCACCATGATGGTTTCAGACAAGGCTTCGCTCTTGTCCGTGAAGAAATTTGAGCTAAGAGATACTATCGTTAAATCCCAGCTTGTGCAGAAGGAAGATTCCTATACCTCCATCCAGAACTTCAGGTAACAACCCCTCTCAGGAATAAAAATGGTGCTGGGGAGCATGCATTTAGTCATAAGCCTTGTCTAAAATCAACAGACCTCCTGCATTTGCAATTTTACCTGCAATCCAGAGTGGAGGGAGACTTGAAAGAAAGTACACTTCATCCCCTGCCACTTAGCAGAGCCTTCCTGCTTTCTAATCTGTTCACCCAGCTGCAGAGAAGAGCGCTTTTATTCATGACAGACTTTGTGCTCCAGTCTGTGCTTGGTCTCATTCCAGATCCCTCTCGGGGCGCGTCCTCTACTTTCGACTGGTTGCTTATTTGTCTGTTAGTGGTCAGAGGTATCTTTGTAAGTGCCTGGTTCTGAAGAGACAGTTCGTATGGAAGAGGTCAATCCATGCTGAGCACTTTATTTTGATTAAACTCCCTTTGAATGAGCTGTTCTGTGGGGGAAAGAGCAGTTGTGGTGATCTTCCCAACCATGTTCGGCATGGTTTTGTGAAATGCATGCATTCCCTGTGGACTGTAAATGCACTGCTCTGTAAAACGCTGCGGAAGAGTTGCCGAAAGTCGTATCCCTTCATCTTGGTGACTTGACGCTCACCCTGCTCTGTCGTACTGCCCACAGGAGCAAGTTCCTCTTAAACATATTTGCAAAGCCACGTAGTTAAGGGATCTTCCCTTTTCTGCTCAGAGCCTCGGGCAGTCCCAGCAGGTTGCAGTTTGGGCGTGCAGGTCTAGGGTTTGAGTGACTCCAAGCTCCTTTGCAGGTTTTTTGTTGGGACATACAACGTCAATGGGCAGTCGCCCAGAGGGAGCCTCCAGCCCTGGCTGAGCCACGACATCGAGCCTCCGGACATTTACTGCGTTGGGTGAGTACAGCTTCCCCGCCAGCTCCCACCCAGGGATGCATGTGTGTAGCCTGGTGATGGGCAAGGAGGGTTGGAGTGAGTGTTTGCATCATCGACACTGGCTGCTATTCCAGGCGTGTTTGTTCTCTCCAGAGACTCAGTGGGGCTCGGACCCCTTCATGCCCTGCTATGGTTAAATCAGTGTAGCACTAATGGGATTTCAGCTTTGCACTAAGCACCAAGTTAGGATTTTGGTTCTTTAACTGATCCATCACACAGTGAATATGTCTCTTCCCTGGAGGCAAAGGCTGGAGAGTTAACAAGCCAAGTGAATACATCCACGGGTTCCTTCCTCTAACGCAGTTTCCAGGAGCTCGATCTGAGCAAAGAAGCCTTCTTTTTCAATGACACGCCGAAGGAGGAAGAGTGGTTTAAAGCTGTAACTGATAGTCTTCACCCTGGTGCCAAGTACGCCAAGGTAAATGTGAAGGGAAGGCTGCCCGATCCTGTCTCCTTGCCTTCGTCTGCTCCTTGCTTGTTTCCAGCCACTAGACATTGGCAGGACTGGGGTGCCTGCAAGGGCCTGCTCAGGAGGCTTAGTGCCTTTTGGGGCTGCCTGCCCCCCAGGCAGGGTTTCAGGCACTGGTCCCTTTTCCAGGGAAGTTGCCCAGTCTCTCCTGTCCTGTGCTGAGCCATGCCATAGGGATGCCCAGGGGTGGCTCCTGCACCATGCCAGCTTGGTACAGCAGCATGGGGTCTGGTTCATGGCACACTGCTCTGGGTTCAGCTCCACATGGGGTGAGGGGCCGCGCAGAAGCAGTCCTGGCTCTGGCTCCATTTCCAGGCTTGAATGTTACAGGGATTGTCTTGCAGGTGAAGCTGATCCGGCTCGTTGGGATCATGCTCCTGCTCTATGTGAAGGCAGACCTTGCGCCGAACATCTCGGAGGTGGAAGCAGAGACCGTGGGGACTGGGATCATGGGGAGAATGGTAGGAGGGGCAGGGGCTGAGTAATTTCTTCCCTGATCCCATATTGCAGTGACTCCCTACATGCAGCTCTCTACTAATTATCGGCTCTCCCCGTCCCACATATGACAGCAAAAGGTGCAGCTTGCAGGGAGAAGCACAGAGCTCCGGGGGCTACCTCCCCTGTGGGTCCCTGCTGAGTGAGACTGAAATAGGCTGCAGCTTTTCCCATACTAAGTAGATCAGGGGAACTGATGTGACTTCCCTTCCCTGGAGGTGGCTTCCTTGGCCGTCAGGATCACGTGGCCCATCTCTCTGCCCTGGGAACTTCATCTCCATTGATGCTGCGGGCGCGGCGTGGCAGAATCTGTCTTTGTGAGAGGCGGCTCCTGAAGTGGCCGCTGAATTCTTTGCAACTCCGCTCTGTTTCATAGCTGTGCTATGCATGGCCCAGTCCTTGCAGTTCCCATCTAGGGAGAGCTGAACTGGTTCATGGCACTGGTTCATAGTTAATCCCAGGGCTTGTGCAGGAGTGCAGGGGCTTCTTGTGCGGCCTGTTTCAGCCCCCGTGGCTCCGCTGTGCTGGGGAGCCCGTGACCAGCTCTGCTGCCTTTCCCGCAGGGTAACAAAGGCGGAGTGGCAATCAGGTTCAAGTTCCACAACACGGGCGTGTGCGTGGTGAACTCCCACCTGGCCGCGCACACCGAGGAGTACGAGCGGAGGAACCAGGACTTCAAGGACATCTGCTCTCGCATGCAGTTCTGCCAGGCTGATCCCAGCTTGCCCCCCCTCACCATCAACAAGCACGAGTACGTGTCCAGGTCTCCGTCCCTGCGCCCGCCGGAGTTCACGCTTGCCCTTGGGTTGTGGCGGGAGGGGAGATGGGCTCTGTGCTCTCTGCTGTTAGCCCCTTGCTGGCAGGAGTCTGGGAGGTGCTGGGGTAGTTCAGGCCAGGAAACCCGGGGCTCCTTGCTCTGACCCCCACTGCGACGCAGGCTTTGGATGACTCCCTCGCCTTCCATGTCTTCCTCTTCTCAGCTGTGAAATAGAAACAGCCTGTAGCCGTTTCCCCAGGGGGTTTTTGAGGGTTTGCTAGTTTGCTTGGAAGAGCAAAGCCATGGGCTGAGCGCCAAGGGCTGTTCTCTGATTAAGTCTGCTGGCGGCTGCCTCTCAATTCGTGCTAACAGACAAATTTGTGGGGCTCTCACCTGGACATAACCTTTCTTGTACCAAATGCTGTGCTTAGTGTGTGAGAGCCTCCATCCATGGTCTTGGGGCAGTCTCTTACATGTGACACTAGTGGGTCAATGTGGCTTACAAATGGGGGAAGCAGGCATGAGTGGGCTGCCCGAGGTCTCTGGGCTAGTAGGGGGCAGAGCTGGAGGCAGGATTTGGGTTTCCAAAGCCCCAGTCCCTTGGAGGGCTGGGTGCTCTGGTGCCAGAAAGGCTCAGTTGTGTCTCAACAGCAATTACAATGAACATTTCTGAGGTCTTTGTTTCAAAAGCCAGCACAAGGAAGTGGCTGGGTTGGTGGTTCCCTGTGTTTTGCTTGGATTAAATCAGTCTCAAACTCTTGCTACCTTCTGTAAATAACCTGCAGACATGGGCAGAGCTGGACTCTGGCTGCTTTGGGCAGCATAGTGTCAGCCTCTTCATGCTGGCCCCTGTATGTTCTCTCCTTGCAGTGTGATCCTGTGGCTGGGAGACCTCAATTACAGG